TCCAAGAACATGCTCAAGAATTGAATTAGTTCTGAACATATAATTAAGCAGTAGCAATTAGAGCTTTAATAGTCATTAAGGTTTACAGAATTATTGATGCTCATTAAGAGTGACTGCAAGACAATCTCTACCAGACTGATACCTTCCAGATGTTTGAGACAAACAGCAGGGAATTCTGGAAATCTGTCCCCTCTTAACAGGAGGGCAGTGGCATGCATTTTCCTCTGTTTTCAAGAATAAGAAAAGAATGCATATGCAAGTTAAAAAAAATACCATGAGGAACCCCCCCCAAAAAAAATGCTATGTAAGAACATTTGATTTGATGGAATCATATCTCTTGGTTACTATTAATGATTACAAAAAAAGAGAGGGGCTGGAAGAGGTGGTCAATGTTGGAATGAATAGTTTAGATCAGAGGTAAACAACCTGTAGAACATCACATATTGCTGGGCCAGAATTTCTATCATCTGGTACAAATCATACTTCCCAGGAAAACTGAATCTTCCTTGGGATTTGTTGCCATAAATTCAGAATTAGCCAAATACTAAATTGAACTCTGAAATGGCATAAAAAACATAATCATGAAAATAAAACTCCAAATGAATACAGGAAGCTTACTGGACACCAACAGCAAAAGTGAGCTTCCAATGCAATTGGTTGAGCAGATTGTTGGACTAGAACATGACATGAGCCACGATGACGCAGTGGCTAGGATGCAGTATTGCATGGTAATTCTGCCAACTACCTCCAGTTCGATCTTGACCAGCTCAAGGTTGACTCAGCCTTCCATTTGTCTGTGGTCGATAAAATGAGGACCCAGATTGTTGGGGGCAATATGCTGACTCTATAAAACGCTTAGCAAGCGCTGTAAAACACTGTGAAGTGGTCATAGGTCTAAATGCTATTGCTAAGTGCTATTGCTATTATCCAGCAGAGTAATTCCCAGGGTCTATAATAATAATAATGTATTAGGATGGAATAAAACTTTAAGAAACATTAGAAATTTCTTTCAAAATTGCAACTTACCCAAGTTTTGTTAAAGTATATAAACGAGAGTATGGTTGAAAGACTTTATGCCCTAAAACATGGCCTGTATCCTTACACCCTGAGTTTTGGGTGCTAACATTAACTGCACTTTTGTAAGAACAGTAGGCATATTTATGTCACTGAAAGAAGAAAGTGTTCTACTCTGTTCTGAACCAAGCCTTCCACAAAATCTAAGTTATTCAGGAAAAACAAACATTTGGGGGGGTTGTCTTCTAGTATTTTATGTATGAATACAATGTCAGTATATGAACATATGTCATTAAGAATTTTTATAGTTGGAACGGTGTCAATAAATGCTATGGATTATCATACGATGCAATGAACATGCAGATCTCTCCATATAGTTGTAGCTTCTGTCAGTCATCTTTTGGAAAGAGATTATCTGCATCTTCAAAGGATTGGTCTTTTCCACTGAAGAGAATGTCCACCTTTGATAACAAAAAAAGCAGCAGCCATGCTTTGGAGTTTAGGAGAAGACAGGATCATTTCTAGATACAATTTAGAAAGTTAGGATCGTCCTGTAGATCTGCATAGTCCAGCATCATTTCCATGAAAATTGCCTGACCTGTCTAAATTTATCACTAATTTATTCAATAAGTCACAATAGGGTTTCACAACATGTCAGGATTAGCTCAATGTGTCAACAGACCTTAGGAGCACATTATACAATTTGTCTTCAGTGTTGTATCATTGTATCTCTGTCATCTGCAAACAACCCATACGTTTGCGTGAAACATGAAAATACTTGACAAAGTATTTTACCAAGCTGGATTTTTAAAAAATTAACCAAAGAAAAATGCATTAATAGATTCCATAAATCTAATTTATTGTTTCACAGGAAATATATTAACAAAGTCAGACCTCACCTCAAAAATCAAGTAGGTAAGTATACCATGCATTCTACAAAATAGTAATCTACTTGAAATGTCCCAATAGTGCAGAAAATATTCATAATTTGTAATAAATATTGCACACATCCTCCAAACTGCCGTAAGATGGAAGAGAAATATGCTATTATTTTCTTCTTTCTCTTTTATCCCCAGTATCAAGTTTCTTATGTTATTATTATTTGCAATAAATAATCAATCTATATATATATTAGTGTTCACATAAATTCAGATAAGAACTAAATTACAGCAAGAAAAATACATATCCATCAATTCAAAATATGTAAAACTAAATGCAGGAATACAATATGTTTTCTTTATTAAAATGCATGAAAACCTTTAAAAATTGTGAATATATCTAGGCAGGACACCAAATGATGAGTATATGCCATACATGCAAAGGTTCATCGATCCTAAATTAAATCAAGAATAGGAATACCATAACCTTCCTGTAATTCCTCAATTCCTCCAAAATTTCTCATTAAACGTGGTGGGAAAATAATGATTTGGGGCAACATGAATAATTTTGGGTAAATTAAAGCTAAAATAGAGATGTAAAGCTTTTGAAAACCTAAATGTAGTAGTAGTAGTAGTAGTAGTAGTAGTAGTAGTGTTGGAAGGGACCTTTGAGGTCTTCTAGTCCCGTGGTGGCGAACCTATGGCATGCGTGCCACAGGTGGCACACAGAGCCCTCTCTGTGGGCACACACGCCCTTGCTCCAGTCCTAGGCCTTCATCTGGGTTTTATAAAACCTTTAGGCCTCTGCCGCCGTGTGCAAAAAAAAAGGTTCGTTCAATCAATTTCAACTTCTCGTGGGAAAAAAAAGATCTCGCAAGATTGGAATTGATTGATTGAACTTTTTAGTCCCACCCAATCTGCCATTACCATCACAGCCATGCCCACCCAATGGACCACACCCACCCAATGGACTACACCCGCCCAATGAGCCATACCCACCCGGCACCCAATAATACATAAGTGGCAGTTTGGGCACTCGGTTTCTAAAAGGTTCGCCATCACTGTTTTAGTCCAATCCCCAGACAGGAAACCCTATACCATTGCAGACAAATGGTTGTCCAGTCTCTTCTTAAAAACTTCCAGTGTTGGAGCATTCACCACTTCTGGAGGCAGGTTGTTCCACTGATTAATTGTTCTAACTGTCAGGAAGTTTCTCCTCAGTTCTAGATTGCTTCTCTCTTTGATTAGTTTCCATCCGTTGCTTCTTGTCCTGCCTTCAGGTGTTTTGGAGAATAGCTTGACTCCCTCTTCTTTGTGGCAATCCCTGAGATACTGGAACACTGCTATCATGTTTGGCCCTCAAAACTGTCAATATTTTCTACACTGACTCATTCTGTAATATCTGTATATTATAGCAATGCCTGTTGGGATTGATTTAAAAAAATCAAAATATATAAAAAAACGTTGTTCACCCCTGGATTAAAGAATTTAATGTAGGAATTCCAGGAATTCCTCCTTAAAAAATCCCCCCCCCCCGAGTAAATTATACTGGTTATGAACCAGTTCAGTTAGCCTGCTGAACACAATGATGCATTCCAAAATATTGGGTTAGCAATCACATGGAACATTTACCTGACCAGGCTTCTTATGTAATGTTTGGATATGAAGCTGGACTTTCCATTGAAATTGGAACACAATTCCTATGAGAGCTTTGTGCATATATCAAAGTTTACACAGGCAGTCAATATTTATAGCATATCTAGGCATGCAGTTCAGCCAACAATCATTGCTTTCCTATTCCTTCCATTTCTAAGGAATTTATAACAAGAAAGTTTAATAGTTTGGAATATTGCCTGTAGCTCATTATGTTAAAAGTAAGTAATAAAAGTCAAATATTTCATGGTGGTCCATTGTTTAATTTAATTCTTCCTTTAAAAATAACCAGGAAAATATAAATGTTATTAATCATTAAAAAGTTGATGAATTTTCCCCAGCTTTTGAATTTATTTTTAATGCCATTCCTATAAACATGAAAGAAATAAAAAATAAAAGTAAGTCCAATGAAACCAATGTTAATTAGAAATTGGGATTTCAGCATGATTTTTAAGATTTTAAGCTAAAAATGTTTTTTTAAAAAAAAATAATAATCTCTGTGGTGGCAACTTTTAAACCTATTTTGAATTATACTGTAGTAACAAAAAGGCAGTGGTTTCTCTAAAAACAGGGAAAGGTGGGGGGGAGGAGGAGAAGGAGGAGTTGGTATTCTTTCAGTCCTAATAGGGAGAAGAAACCATTTTCCATAAGCTAGAGATCTGTAAAATCAAAATCTTCCAGTTGCCAGACCATTTTCAGAAAAATTAATGAAGAAAGTATGTAATGCTCATTCAGGAAGGCGACAACAAGCAGGATACTGAAATGGTAGCATGATTTCTCCTACTTAGAAGAGCCCCCTATGTAGTTATAATGCTATTAAACACATACCTTAGAATGGGACTGAAATTTCTGTCTATTTTTATATAGGAATGATCTATAAAGTAAACTATTTCAGTTTGGATTATGCTACACAGGTACCTTAAAACAGATCTCAGAAGTACAGTTCCAAATCCAAGGGGCTTTTCTGATATAAAGGTTTGGTAGTACATTTTCATTGACATAAATAATACATGTCCGTTTTTCAGACAAAGAATCTCTTTCATAAATTAGTCCTCTCACACCACTAAATTGTTGCTCACTGATATAAAAGTGATTAACATAGGACAAACACATGGAAGAAAATGCTATCCTAGAACACATATTAGAAAAATTTTATATATTATTTTTATATTTATATATTACTTTTATGAAAAAAAAAGTTTTGTTCCGTGACGGAAGCAAACCAAGTGTCTTTATTACTTTCAAGTTCCTTTGTGAAGTTCTTCTATTTTCATCTGCTAAATTGTCTTCCTTGTCACATTATGCCAGCTCAATATCTCCTGCGTAGAGAGTGATGAGCAGGATTGCAGTGAACCCTGTGAGCAAGCCAGCATTTTGAATCAGGAAAAAAATGAGATCTGTTTTTCTTCCAGTTACTTTTTCTCTCAACATGTCGTTCATCTCTGGGAACTGGAGTTGCCATGGAAATAAAACCGCGCACACACATAAAAAGAGAGAGAAATAATTTTACAGTAGGTAAGTTTTGCCATCTAGTGGCAAATAGAATAGCATGGTAGTATATTCATTTTTTAAAATGCATTCATTTTTAGTTTTATAGGGTTTTTTTGTACATTACTGGTAAGATTGGTTATGATTTTTAAGTTGCAAGGAAAAAGGGTTTAATGATTTGGGGGATACACCCATCTTGGATAGTAGGACCAATTACTTCATCAAGACACGGACAAGAAAAAAGAAGCTATAGTTATTTTTAGTTCTCGATTCTTAGATTCTTAGGGACTTCCTCACCTGTCCATCTTAGACAGAAAACATTTTATTGGTACCAAATGTAATTAATACTCATTTTGCTTGGGGCAACCTATCATGAATGAAGAGTTAAGCTGAGATTCAAATCTAGCTGCAAAACCTGACAAGTTAAAATGTCACATAGGAAGAAAAAAAATAAAGCTGTTTCCTTGTAGACCTTTCATTACTCAGCTAGGCTAACATAAAAAGTGCAGGATATGTTCCCTGTTTATTTACAGTAGCTTCGCCTTCCAGTTTGGGTCAGTGGGTGGTTTTCTCCTTGGTATGTCTTTGAATAGGGTATTGTTTTCTGTTTGATTGTAGTCTAATGTTAATCCCTACTTATCTAGCTGTTGGCTGCTGGAGATTGTGTATAAGATTGTCCATACAACATATTCCAACAAAACGGATATCCATACAACTTTATCAACTCCATTCACTACAACACAACCAATACAATGTATGAAAAGAATAATATTACCTTGTCACAAGCATTTCAGAAACAAACAACAGACTATTGTCGCCAAGACTTCATGGTAGCACACAAATCAACTAAAGTCCTCCAAAACATCTTAAGTAAACCAAAAGACTTAGTAGCCCAAAAAGAAAGAAGTCGTCTGCAACATACACTCTAAGGCTATGCTGGCTGAGGAATTCTGGGAGCTGAAGTCCACAAGTCTTAAAGGTGTCAAGGTTGCAGACCCTTGCTCTAAGGACTATAACAGCCACTATGTAAGACAGATAGACAGAAGACTATCAAATCATATCCATGAACAACTAGCAGTCAGAAAATACGATGAAAACTCCTTAATCTCACAACACGTGGACAAACTAAATCACAACTGGGGAACTGTGAATATCCCAGACCAAAAATCTAAAAATAACATTCCTTCCTAAGGCTAAGAGAAAGTGACTAACCCAAGGTAACCCAGTTGGCTTTGTGATTAAGGCAGGACTAGGACTCATGCCCTCCCAGTTTCTAGCCTAATGCCTTAACCACTACCCCATTCAGAATTCAGAAATATGTTTCTCTCTGCTTATTTACCCACAATTAATCTGGGCTATGTCTTGATTCTTTTTTGTACGAGTATTTCTAGATCTTAACTTGCTGGAGATTGATATACGTTTTAAGTAAAAGTATTCATCTGTTGAACTGTGGTTCCACTACCAATAGAAATACAACAGATGTTTTATGTGCTTGGCAGCAAACAAACGTAGACATTTCTCATTCCTTGCTGCATTTAATAACGATAGAATTTTTTTCAGTCCAGGTTTGGTCAATCTAATGCTTCATTTAATTCCCAGAAGAGTATTTCTCCAAAGATGTTACTTAACCAAGGATGGGAAACAAAGCACTTTGGACCATAGACAAGAAGAAAAGAATTCAGAAATAAGTCAGCCACAAACAGAAGCTATTGTATAGGGCAGACATTTAGAATCAATTCTAGAATGCATTTTTTTAAAGGCCAAGTATAACAAAGACATCAGACCAACAACTTTACTAATGCTTTACCCATCATATGTAAGCATTTTAATGTGCAGAAAAAAATCTTGTGGAGGAACATTCAAAAGTATGAGACCATACAATCTCCGTTTTGACCCAGAGCTGAGAGATTACCTTGAATAATAAGATTAATGAGATTAATTCACCATGATCACCTAAGAGAAATGGTAGGGAAAGAGAGAGAAACAAGAACTCTTACAAATCCTACCTGTTTCTAGACAGAGAAGAACAAAGTGGGGTTCAGCAATAAATCAGGGTTCTGTATTGATTATTCACACATATTATTACATTTGGCTCAGACACAGTTCCGGTCTAGACACCTAAAGATAGAGAAATTGGAAAGATAGATAGAAAAACCTATCACCTACTGTGCCATAAGTAGGCTTTCAAACAGGGGTCTATACATTATCTAAGATAGAAAGATGTCACAGAAAACAGCTTTAATTTCCAAGCTTGCTCTTTGCTCTCGGTAAAGATGAGAAACAGGTCATAAAATATACCAAACTGCCATATTTCCACTTTTTTTCTGAACTACACTTACTCATTGTAACCCAAGAAACAAGGCACAAACATATCCTAGAATGTCAGCTATGATTATAGATGTGATCTATTCATGTCTCCTCTCTAAGTGGGTGGAATTCTATATCTCTACGAATAATTGTACATAGTTTTATTAAATTCTCTATGTTTTTAATACATTGATCTTTGGTTTCAGAATTTGCACAAATAGAAGCATTAGCATGGGACATAATCCCTGGACACTTATAGAGTACTCCAAATACTCCAAAAATTGTAAATGAATTGTAATGCATAATTTGATGGAATAAGAAAAATATTATATATATAGGTAATAGTTGCCTTAATGGCATTTAATTAATTTTTACTTAGCTATCTTTGTTTGCTTTTGTCCTAGATGTTTTGAAATGAAAATTGCTAGGATGTCACCACAGGTAAGATGGTAGTAAATTCTAGAACTATAGCTCTTGAAACCCATACAGACTGAATACTAAATCTATATACTTCCCCTTATTTCTTTCATGTTTTTCAAGCCATTGGCCTCATGTACACATGTAAAACTAGTCAATCTTCCATACAGAGTTTTCAGGGGAGAACAGCTGTTTTAAGAATTAAGTAAAAAAGCAAGATAGAAGTTCCTTACTTTGTCTCGTAGCAATAAATATTTCACCCTAGGCTTAGACAGACTTAACAAGGCGTTTATGCAATTTAACACCATGCTAGGTCACATCCAATATGTCCAGCTAGGAAAAATTGACATGAACTTGCCATTTCAATGTTTTTAATTTCCAGAGTGAACTAGTTTCATGCTAATAGCATCAGTACCGTGATTCTCTTAACACTGTCTCACAGATATAGTCTCTCATAATCACACATTGTAATAATGCTAATGGTTAAGCCCATTTGTACTACAGTAAGACTATAAATATTGTTAAGTAGGTAGATAGGTAGATAAGCTGTAGCAAAAACTCACCATATCTGCAAGGGAGATGTATAGAAACATGCCTCCAGCTAGTGCAAAAATGATGTTTGGAGCAAAGTTGTTACCTAAAATTATGCCAAAAATTAGGCCAATATAACAGGAGCATGCTGATAAAAAATTGAAAAACAAGGCTTGCCTTGTGCTCATTCCTGCATTAAGAAGGATGACAAAATCCCCTAAAAAAAGAAATGGATGCCATCATGAGTACGTAACACAGTTATGATTTATACTTTCTCCAAGATGAATCAAAATACAGAGAGGCAGTCTGGTGTAATCCTTTAAAGACATCCTTGGTACTGGATGACTTTGGGCCAGTCGTTCTATCAGTCCTAGAATGGGACTATCAATCTCCAGGACCAGCATGATAAATTACAGTCTTTAACCTTCAATGAAGAGGTTTTAATCTTGCAGTAGATTGATTCAGGATGATAATAATTCAAAATGGACCAGAAATTAAAACTATCATTTTCCTATTTAAATATAAAACATTTATTGATTAGGTCTTGCTTGACGAGAAATTTCCTAAAACAGCTTATCCCAGTCCTGATGCCCTTAGAGTTGGAATGCAGCTCCAGATTTCTGAATCATTATAGTTAAACGTTGAAAGCTATAATTTTTGGAAAAACTATAGTGGCTGCATTGGTTCTAGAACTCTGCCTCAGTTACGTACCTTAACCATTGAAATGGTGTAAAACATATTACCTAATTCATGAGGAAACTCTTCACATAAGATTGCTATAGATGTGCTAATTCCCTGAAGTAGGGAAAGTGTGAAAGAAGCCCCAATGGCCAATCCATCAATGAAGTTGTGCAAAGCGTCGCTTAATGTGATCATCCAGGCAACTGTACCAATCTCAGACAGGGGAGGCCCTTTGAAACATTTGAATGAAGTACTTTGCATTTCTTCTTTCTACAACAACAAAAAACATGAAAGTTACATCAAATACTTAAGTCACTGTAAGAAATCAAAGGATATATAATTTAAAGTGTGCTTGTTTACTGAGAAATAAGTCATGGAATCCAAAGTACAGGTAGTTCTCACTTAAAAACTGGTTACTTAACTACCATTCAAAGTTATGACACATTGTCTCCCCCTTATAATCCAATTCCGGAGTTCCCACAATGGCACGCGCACACACACACCATGATTACATGACCATATTTCAGATGCTCATCTTTACAGCTGGTTGCAGCATTGTGACCATGATTTATATTTTTTCAGCTGATTTATAGCAAAAAACGCCCATAAAAACAAAAAACTATCACCACAAAAACCTTATAAAATCAGGTCAATCATGTGGGTATTATGACTTATGATTGTCATAACTTATAATGGAAATTCTGGGCTCCATTACAATCATAAGTTAAGGATTACCTATAATCATTCTCCACAGATAGCAAATATTTCTTTTACAAGCACAGCACCATGAGGTCAAATTCACTTTTGATCTCGATCACAGTTCTTCTGTTTTCTCTGCAGTAAACTGCCCAAAGGAACTGGATTATCTAAAGAACTGCAAAACAGGATGGATCCTAATGCCACCAGGTTACCAGTGCTTTTATACATTTGATTCAGAAGACCATAATGTGTTGGATTCATCTTCTAACAGGCTTATCATGGACAGCATGACACCATTTTGCAAATTTTTTAAATAGGTATCAGATAATACATCAAATAATACATTTTCCTCAAAAAAGCAACTGAGCTACAGGGTCAATCAATGAAAAGTAATCAGAAATGAGCTGATAGAGTAGGGTTAATTTTCAGCAATAAGATAGGACTCTTTTATTCCTTTAAGCATATTATGCTATAGCAACTTTTCTGAAAGGGTTATATTTCATATTGTTAAGAACTGGACACTCTTTCTAAGCATCAGGGACTTTTGGAGGTGAAGCCCCTGTATTTTTTTTGTCAGCCAATTAAATCTTGTCTATCTCCCTCCAAAACCTGACAGGACTATTTAAACCTTCATATACCTTAATAAACCACAAAGGATAGCTTTCCCTCTAGGACTCTGATTTCAGAGTCAGCACAATTGTTGGATAGAAATTACTGTTCACCTATTAATCATGCCACCTAACTTCAATAGGAAAAGTCTGAAATCCCTGGTATTTTAGGTAAACAAACTAACAAAGGAAAGAACACTCTTCACTAATTCATGTGATTTTGGGATGGCTAAATTGAAAAAACCCTGTCAATTTAAAGAAATAATCTGGTGCATTTTTAAAATATGGTTATTAAGATTATTAATTATTATGGTAGTTTATTTATAACAATCAATAAAAAATAAGTAAGATCATGGAGAATACACCAAATTTCACATACAAATTTGACTGTTATGATCAGTCATCCAGTCAACAGGATGTGGATCTCATGGCCAGACTGGATTTGATATTTTTATCCTCCTGTGGGGTCCAAGCCTCAAAAAAAAAGAAAAAAGAAAGAAAAAGCTTTTCATGGCTAGCAGCTGCCTTGCAAAGGGCCAGACAGGATGTGTCTCATCAACAGTGGGAGGAAGAAGGCAGCACAGGTCATCTGGGAATGGCAAGGGCAGTGAAGCACAGGGTGGCAAGGCTGTCAGAGTGCAGGTGGCCAAAAGGGCAGAGATGGGGGCAGGAGAGATAGGCAGAAGGGGGTAATTGAAGTGCCCTTCAGTCATAAGTGCAAGTGCGATATCAAACACCCAATTTTTGACCATGTGACCATGGGAGCACTACAATGGCCATAACTTCAGGGACTGATATAAGAACTATTTGTTCAGTGCCACTGTAGCTTTGAACTGTGACATAGTTAACCAAGGACTACTTGTATGAATATTTAGCAGACATTTTATTACTATACTTTTATTATTGATGAACTGCATTGAAGAAATTAGATAATTTTGCAAATACTATCTAAGTTTCAGTTGGTGCATTGGAAATGCAAAATTAGGTAAATTACAAACTGTTTTTTTACCACTGATTAATATAGTTCTACTCGGACAATAAAATTCCCGGAGACGCCATTTAAAGAACAATTTCAACATTTCAAAAATTACAGCCAATTTACTCATCAAAGTAAAAATAGAAAAATTA